CAATGACATGAGGCAAAGTATATGTGAACTGCTGTATGAAAAGTGAATTTACTCTGTAAATCTTCACCCAAATCCTAATAAAAAAAAAAAAAGAAGAAGAAGTACACACAGAATGTCCCTTAGAGGATGCTGAGACTTCACCTCTCATACTTTGGACATGTTATCAGGGAGGACCAGTCCCTGGAAAGGACATCATGCTTCGTAAAGTAGAGGGTCAGAGAGAAAGAGGAATACCCTCAGGGAATGGATTGACACAGTGTGTGCAACAATGGGCTTTATCATAGCCACGATCGTGAGGATGGCACAAGACCTGACGGTTTTTCATTTTGTTTGCACATAGAGTTAGTATGAGTCAGAACCAATTCGAAAGCACCTAACAACAACAACGGCTACACCCACCTGTCTGTCAGTTTGTTTTATTGTTGATGGCTTGTGTACTGCTATGATGCTAGAAGCTATACCATAGGTATTTCAAATACCAGCAGGGCCCACAGTAGACGAATTTCAGCAGAGCTTCCAGCCTACAGCAGACTAGGAAGAAAGGCCTGGCGATCTTCTTCCAAAAATTGTTGTTGTTGTTGTTGTTGTTGTTAGGTACCACTGAATTGGTTCCAACTCATAGTGACCCCATGCCATGCACAACAGAAGGAAACACTGCCCGGTCCTGTGCCATCTTCACAATCTCTGCTATTACAGGGATTATCACAATCAAAGAATTAGCCAATGAAAACCCTGCGGGTCACAAAAAAAATATTGTCTGATACAGCGCTGGAAGACGAGTGCCCATTGTAGGGCACATTGGCCCTACAATGAACATGTACACATGTACACATTGGCCACAACAATGAACTCAAGCATACCAATCACGGTGAAGACAGCGTAAGGCCAGGCAATGTTTCTGTCTGTCGTACGTGGGGTCATCAGGAACTGGAGCCAACTCAACGGCAACTAACAACAAGGATAGAGAGCCACAAGTCAAAGGATCCTGGGTCCCTACAACATCTCAGCTTAGAGGAGACCTGCCTGATTGGTACAGAGTCAGAAATGAATTTCTATTTTCTGGCAGCTATTACCTGCTGGGTCTCTTTGTGGCAGTACTTAGCCTAACTTAACTAATACAGACATTGCTGGAAGGGGGAGCATCAAAGCAAAAACCTAAAATATGCACTTGTTTAGAGATCGTGTGCCAGGTGTCAGTGAACAGCTGGGATAGAGCAGGCTGGGATGCTTAGGGGTCTCCCAGGCCTTGTTAGCCACAGCAAAGCACCAGAAACCTGCCTGCAGCGATAACTTGGAAGGCAGACGGTGTGCCTACCGAGCCAGCAGCTCCGGAGAGACTTAGAGGGTTCCTGTGTTTAGTCAAATCCTTGTTGCTTTTAGCAAGCACTACAAGAAAATGGTGAACCATGAGGGGACTGGCATGTTTGCAAGTAGACGGAATGAAATGGAGAGTTTTGGGATTAAAAGCCTTACAGAGATAGAAGACTCAAAAAGAAGATATAAGGCTTTGAATAATTTAAAAAAAAAAACAACGCTGCTGTCTAGTTGATTACAACTTATAATGACCCAAGTCCAGAAGGTTGGTGGTTCAAACCCACCACCCACTCCGCAGAAGGAAGACTGCGCAATCTACTTCCATAAAGATTTACCGCCTCAGAAACACAAAGGGGGTCGCCATGAGTCGGAATCAACTCGACGGCAGTGAGTTTGGTTTGAGTGAGTTTTGTGCGCCAGAGAAAAACTGTACCCCACAGGGTGTTCATAGGAGATGGATCACCAGGCCTTTCTTCGGAGGTACCTCTGGGGAGACTCAAATCTCCAACCTCTTGGTTAACAGCCAAGTGCTTAACCATCTGCACCACATAGGGCCTCCTTCAACAAAGGCCTTCTTCCATTAAGCCATAAAATGGCCATGACCTTCTCACAAAAATCAGGTGAAGGGTGTTGCTGGTTCCTAATCTTAATTGTTTTATACTATCTTAAAAAACCTACCCTTGTGTTGAAAGAGCTGGGCATGGGAGTGAGGATACAGAGAGACAAAAGCAGCCTATGGCTCTCATCCAGGAAAGAAATCTGGATGTGGTTACTGCCACATGGGAGCAACCAGGAGCAAGCACATCAGAAGCTTGCTAGGTTTTTGAGGGGATCTTATTATTAAAGAAAAATGAACCTGACCTAAAATAGCCTTTGGAACCTCAAACTGTTACCAGCAGGAAGCAGGTTGCAAAAGTGGTATACCCCTAAGGAGGGCACACTTCCCACTCCCTGCCTCCTCTGTAGGCAGAACCAGAGCTTCATGGAGGAACTTCTCCTATGCTGGGACAGAGGTCTTCCCAGAGCCACCTGGCTGGATTTCATCACTGCAGTGGGCCAGGGACTGTCTCTTTCTGAGTGGGAGTTACTGTTGCAGCTATTCCGCCCTTCCCCATCCCGGTGCATGTGTGTATATGTGTGTCTGTGTGTGGGTGTGTGTGCGTAGGTCACAAGAAGTCATTGCTAGGCCAAACAGAGAGGACCTTGAGGTGAATGCAGTGACTATTTGGGCCTCTGATTAACTGCTTTTGGGCTGAGAGTGAGGGTGCGTGAGTGGAAGAAGGGCACATACACAGAGCAGTGGGCAGAGGGGTAGACAATAGCAGAACCTGAGAGTTTCCACTGCCCCCCTCCTCCAGGGCACACATTGGACTACATTTCCCAGCCTCTCTGCAGTCAGCTGGGACCAAGTGACATTCTTCCTACTAAAATGTGAGTGAGGGGACAAGTGGTATATCCAGGCCTTTACAAAAGCAGGTAGACTCTCCTGCCCCCTCTGCTGAATGGAACCTAGGCAGGTGACCCAGCCTGGACCACACAGGAGAGTAAGGTACTGACAAGTGATGCTGAGCCAGAAGGTGAGGAAGTCTGGTTCTCTGAGGCATCTCACGAAGGAACACCCACCCTGAACTGTCTGGAGAGGGGAAGACAAACCACCACATTGTTGGGAATGTTTGTTACAGAAGTGTAGTTTACCCTAACCCCTCAGATGAGGCACTGATGGTTCAGTTGTAGAATTCTCGCCTTCTACACAGGCGACCCAGGTTCGATTCCAGCAGACACAGCTCAGATGCAGCTACCACCCGTCGTCAGTGGAGGCCTGCATGTTGCTATGATGCTGACCAGATGTCGGCAGAGCTTCCAGACTAAGGTGGGCTAGGAAGATAAGCCTGTGATCTACTTCCAAAAGTTAGCCCATGAAGCCCCTATAGGATCATGAAGCTCTGACAGACACCTGAGCTGAGGATGGAACAGAACCAGTCAGTGTGCTGTTCCATTGCGCATGGGGTCACCATGAGCTAGGGACCACCTCACCAACAAGTAGCAACAACAACTACTACTACTACTACAGCTACTAGGATACCTAGTAGAGAACAATGACAAAACTCTGCAAACAACCTAAATATCCAACTTTGTGGGATGGGTTAAACAAATGATGGTAGATCCATGTAATTTAATAGTATTTCATTAAAAACAATGTGCTATATTAGTTAGTGACAAAAAAAAAAAAAAAAAGGTCACATACTACCAATAAGCGAGAAAATAGGTTCTGGGAGAGTCTTTTTTAATTGGTTTTTAAAAAAAAAAAAAAGAAGGAAAAGAGGAAAAAATTTTAAACTCCATATATAGTGGGTAGGAGCTCCGGTAGCGTAGTGCCTAAGGCACTTGACTGCTAACCAGAAGGCTGGTGGTTCAAGCCCATCAGCCACTCCTCGGAAGGAAGGTTGGGCAATCTACTTTCGTAGTGATACCGCCTCATAAACCCAAGGAGGGGTCGCTATGAGTCAGGTCTGACTCGACGGCAAACAACAACAACAATATATAGTGGGTGCGTGTGCGTATGTGTGTAAGGAGAGACGGAAGAGGGAAAGGGGAGGAGATTGCTGACATGCAGTGTTTTGATCTTACCTTGGATCACCCAAAGTTCCCGTTTTCCTCAAATTTATCAAATGGACACTCTGCTCTCTGACATTCAGAATCTGATTGAGGCAGCGGTGGTTCAAACTCTAAAAGCCAAAAAATTAAGAACATTACTACTTTTCAGTATATTATAATCCATTAGTGTGTGTGGTTCAATGTAAGAGTAAGCATGTTAAGGATGTGCAGGAATATTTCTTAGGAATATTTTTTCCTTCTTTTAATGCATTACGCTGAACTCTCTTGGTCTCTCTCTAAGCTTGTGTTGTCCAATATGGTAGCCACAAGCCACATGGGGCTATTGAAACTGATTAAAGTGAAATCAAATGAAAAATTCAGGCCCTCAGTCACACTAGCCCTGTTTCCACTGCTCCACGGCCAAGTGTGGCTAGTGGCACAGATGTCGAACACTTCCATCTCCACAGGAAGTTTTATTAGGCAGCGCTGTTCCGTACTGTTCAGGCTATGTGGAAGTTAGCCACATGGCAAAATTTACCCCCAGCTCAGAGGCGTTACAACTGCTGCCCCTGAAGCCACCAGTGGCCACTCTTCCTCTGATTCGTGGTTACCAAGGAGCCTTCAGATTATATGTCACGGTAGGTTTGCCAAGCTTGAGTCTCCAGGGTTCAATCACTCCATGTGCTCTGCACAGGGCTGGGTTCACGGGACACATCTGAGTCAGGAAAGCATCACCAGTGGTCCTAGGATTTGACTTTTAAAAGCAACAAAAAATAGCAAGAGGTGGATATCATCTGAAGCCTGAAAGTGAGGATTTGACTGCTATCTGACAGATCTTATTGATGTGTCCTACAGGAACCAATGTGACCTATGGGGTTTCTCAATACATAATTACTGAGAGCCCAGTGCCTGGCACCGAGGAGATGGATCTGAGTTGAGAACCACCAGAATCTGCTGTGTGGACCCTAATGACCAGCTGGAGAGACATGAAATAACTGGATGAGTATGAGTTGGAACCGGAATGGAAGCCCCAGCAGAAGGACCTGGCCTAGGGCAGGAGAGGACAGTGTCCACAGTAGTTCTTTTGGTTACCTAGTGCCATTTTGACAATAATATACCACAAATGGGATGGCTTGAACAAACAGGAATTTATTCTCACAGTTCAGGAGGCTAGAAGTCCAAGTGCAAAGTGCCAAGCTCTAGGGGCTGCATGAAAGCCCCTCGACCTTGGGCTTCAGCTCTGCCTCTTGTTCCCAGACCACCGAAGCTAGAGGCATCTCTTCACTCAGACAGCTACTGGCTGCTGAGGCTAACAAGCCCAAGGTTGACAAATAAAATGGCACAGTCCCGATGTTACCAAACCACACAGCGGGCCATTAATTCAAGTCCATTGAAAGTCTCAAGATCGGCAGGGCATGGCAGGCTGCTGAACAATGACACAGCAGGGTTCAAGTATGCCGTAAGCTGGAGACCGTTCCCAAAGCTGTTTCTTATATATGGGAAGCAGACCACATCCCTAAAGCAGCTACTCAGCTGCTTGTGGTAGGTCCCACCACGGAGTTGTGCCAGTCTCATCATAGGGAATAACTACCACCAGCTGCCCAGCCACCCAACCAGGCCCAACCAAGTTGAGACACAAACTTAACCACTACAGTGGTACAGCCAGGGTGGGAGAGGCAGGGGTGGTAATGGTTGGAGATGACGGTTGGGATTAGGGAGATGTAGGGATGGCCACAGGGCGTTGTGAGAGAACACAGAAGACTTTATCCTGGGAAGACACCACGCGGTTTTAAGAGGTTGGTGATAGGATTTACACTTTCCAAAGGTCACTCTTATTGCCATGAAGAGAAGGGGTCAGGGGCCATTAGTTACATTGCTCTTGAGCCATCAGGACTCTTGGCAAGCTCAGAAAGGGGAAGGCAGAGGTCCCTGTGATGAGGAGTGAGCAGACAAGGAAGAAACAGAGGGTGGGGGATGCAGTCAGCATGTTATTGAAAAAAAAAAAAAAAAAAAAGCTGGCTCTTTCTATAGAAAAATCCTGATTAAAGGGGGGAAACGCAGAACAGAATTTCAAATTATCATGTAATCCAGACTTCCTGGAGCCATTGAAGCTGGACGAACCCCCATCACTATTGTTCTGAAATAATCTTTAAACCTTAAACTGAAAATATCCCCTGAAGTCTTCTTTAAACCAAGCAACCAAAACCAAACCAAACCCACTGCCATCGAGTTGATTCTGACTCACAGCAACCCTACAGGACAGAGTAGAACTGCCCCAGAGGGTTTCCAAGGCTGCAGATCTTTATGGAAGCAGACTGCCTCATTCTTCTCCCATGGAGTGGCTGGTGGGTTCAAACTGCTGACCACTGCTTCAACCACAGCCCCACCAGAGTTCCTTCAATCAAACAACAGTTCAGCTTAATTATAAAGAATGTCTGCCTTGAGTATGGTGCTCTTTTAAAGAACTCTCTGGGATCAGACAGACAACATCAACCTGAAAAGTTAGAGGGCAGTAAGTTTATGTTAATAGGGAAAGAACAATTAAGAGAAGGAGAGAGAGAATGGTTATACAACTTGAAGAATGTAATCAATGTCACTGAATTGTGCATAAGGGAATTGTCAAATTGGTTTCTGTTTTGCTGTGTATATTTTAAAAAACAATAAATAAAAAAATAAATAAAAGGTTGGCTCTGAAGGAGACTTGGGAGAACAGCCAACATAACCATAATCCAAGCTACCACACAGGATGCTTCACCATGCTTGGCACTGCTCTCAGTTTTCATACAAACGGACTCATTAAGTTCTAACAACCCAGTGAGAGAAGTACTGTTACTATCTGTTTCTTACCGATGAGGAAACCGAGACACAGGCTAAGTAGCTTGCCCAAAGTCATACAAATATTAAGTGGTGGAGCTGGGATTTGAACCTGACCCGTCTGGCTCCAGTCTGTGCCACAAAGAAAAGAGCCATATACTTGGGAATCAGAAGAGGGTCTGAAACATCAAGGAGAAAAGTGTTCGAGGAGGTTGGGCTCACCTCAAAGTTGCCCTTCTCTCCAGAACTCTAGCCCCTCAAGTTCTGTCTTAGTCTCTCTGATGCCTTCACACAACTGTTTTTCTGAGTTTTGATGTTGTTTTTAAATTTTATGTAACTCTGATGGTTGTTCTTGGTGGGAGGTTTGGCTATTGCAAGCTGCACACTCACAGTCAAAAGCAGAAGTCTTTCTTCAGTTGGTTTTGATCAGTAAAAAGGTTGATTCTGAAGGGGAAGTGGAAGTTGTCGAATGTTCCTTGTTTCTTGCCCCCTCCTGCTATCCTTACACTCCAAGCAAGCAGTTTAACCTTTCATAGCCTCAGTTTCCTCATTTGAAGGCAGAGATCATTATCTTCTCCTTGTAGGGGGAACTCTGGTGGTATAGTGCTTAAGGCATTGACTGCTAACCAGAAGGCTGCCAGTTCAAACCCACCAGACATTCTTCGGAAGGAAGGTTGGGCAACCTACTTCCGTAGTGATACCGCCTCGTAAACTCAAGGAGGGGTCGCTATGAGTCAGATCCAATTCAACGGCAGTGAGTTTGGTTTTGTAGAGTGGTTACGACAGAGCTTGAGGGTATTCAGCAAATTTCTGAAAAGTGTCAGCAAAAGCCTGGAGACAGAGGCGGTCAGAGAGGCAAAATTCATCCCCAGCCCAGGTGAGAGGCTACTCTGCTTCACTAGAGGGAGGCAGGCAGAGCTCACAGCAGCGAGGGTCACATAACAACTGTTGCCCCTGAAGCCACCAGCAGTCACCCCTCCTTCTGATTCATGGTCACCAAGGAGCCCTTGGCCTACACATTGAGGTAGGTTTGCCTAGCTCAAGTCTCTGGGTTTCAAGCATTCCATGTGCTCAGCACAGGGGCAGGCACATTTAAGGAAATGCATTAAGGAAATGCATTAAGGAAATACTAGTTCCTAGGCCTAAAGTCTCAGGCTCAGTGCCTGGGACCAGATGACTCAAATAGTGCCCACCCCCTTGCTGAAGCCTGGCCTGTGTGACCAGGAGGGAGACCAGCCTTCATCCTGAGGTGCCCCCTGTCACCCTAAGCCTTGTCAACAATGAAGAAGCCAATCAGTTCTCCCCTGCTGCTGAGGGAGGGTGAATTGGTACAATCACTTTTGCCATCAAATGAGTTGAATTATCTACTGACCCTTTGACCAGAAATTCCATTCCGAGGAATTCACCCAAGAGGAACTTCCATTCATACATAAGCAGGCTCCCAGCAGCACTCTAGCAAGAGCAGAACCCTGAAGGCAACCTGAATGTCAGCAAAAGGGGACTGCCATAACTGTGATGCTTGAAATGACTTTAAAGTAAATTAGGGCACGACAGCTTGCCAGGCCTAAGGTCAAAATGTCACAAGGATGGTCATGCTCTTCTAGGAAAATCAACTGATGTCTAAAAACCTTCCAAATTCCAGAGCTACACACACAATTTGGTCTGGACCTCACCTGTCTCCTTCCTCACCCACAGCACATCCTGGAACACAGCCCCTTCTGCCTTCTGGATCTTCGTTCATGCTGTCCCCTCACCCTGGAATGCCTTCCACCTCAGCTCCTAGTTAAATGGCTCCTGGCAAGTCGTCCCCAACCCCATAGCCATTCTTTGGGATTCCTCCTATCAAGCAGTGAAGAAACTAAAACAGTCCTTTGCATTCTCAAGGGAAAAACGGGAAACTAGCTTTAAGTGCCCAAAGACTCTATACATGTCCAGTGTAATCTTGACACCAGCCCAGAAAATGGGTGTTACCCTTTTATCTCCTCTCCACAGAATAGAGCCTCCGAGAAGTTCAGAGGACCCCTTGAAGTCACATAATTCTACTGAAGAAACAGTTTAAGAGCTTTTCTCTATTAAACACAACATAGCACTAATATACCAAAAAACAAACAAACCAGGTGCCATTAAATTGATTCTGACTTATGGCAGCCCCACGTGTGTCAGAGTGGAACTGTACAAGGTTTCCAATGGCTATGACCTTTCGGAAGTAGACGGCCAAGTCTTTCTTCCAGGGTACCTCTGGGTGGATTCAAACCACCAACCTTTTGGTTAGCAGCTAAGTAGTTAACCATTGGTGCCACGCAGGGACTCAGCACCAACTACATAGTTGTCTCAGTTGCTATAGAGTCAGCCTGACTCCCGGCAACCTCATGTGTTCCAGAGTACAGCTGTGCCCTAGATGATTTTCCTAGCTGTCATCTTTAAGGAAGCAGTTCACTAGGTCTTTCTTGAGCGCTGCTGCTGGGTGATTCCACACTGCAACCTTTGGGTTAGCACCCTAGCACATATCACTACCGGGGCTCCGTATATATTATGTTGCTGTGTGCCCTTAAGTAGATTTCAATACATACGTACTCCGTGTGACAGAGCAGAGGTGCCCCATAGAGTTTTCTAGGCTGTAGTGTTTACAGAAGCAGATGGCCAGATCTTTCTCCTGTGGAGCCGCTCGGTAGCGGTTAACCGTTGGCCACCAAGGCTCCTAACATATATAATTACTTAAATTTCAGTTCTAGCGTCGGGATAGGAATGACAAGCTTGGAGAAAGCGAAGCAGGATACAAATCTATCTTTTTATCAGAACGCAGAATCCGAGTTAAAATGTAACCAGGAAAAATAAAGAGCTGGGGGCTGCAAGGTCGGGAAAGCAGCCCGATGCGCGGTCACACAACCCCCAAGCAACGCGCGTCCCCGACCAGCCCGCCACCGCCAGGGCCCGCCCACCGCCTCCAGCCGGTCCCAGGCCAATCCCAGAGCCCGAACGTGGCTCGCGTGCCCGGCGCGCGTCCCCGGAGCGTGCTCGGCGTGCGCGGTGTCTCCTTCCGCTCGCTTGCGGCCCGCGGTAGGCGGGAGGTTGTTGTTACTCACAGCTTGGCGGGGTGCGCAGGTCGCAGTGGTCTCTACGCGCTGGCCCCGACGGCCGCAGAGCAATGCATTTTCCGCTGGCCCGGAGACCCCAGTTGGAGCCTCGGCCGGGCCCAGGGGCACCGCCCGGGGCAGGAAGCCAGCGGCCGTGCGGCGCCCGAGCGTCCACATGCTTCAGCTCTACGGCGTGCTCCGCCCTCCCTCCTGGGGGACGCGCTACGACACCTGGTGGCCACGGACCGCAGGCGCACCACCTCGGCTCCCGTGCTCAGGTCCCCTGTTTTGTTGGCTGTGGGAATGGCCAGAGGCCAGAGCTCAGGAAGAACTTCCCAGAATTGGGAACAAAAATGGAGAGACTGCTTTGTCAAAGCATGAACCTTACCCCTTGGGTAGCATGGTGACTGCAAAACCAAGGTCCCTACACTCAGGGAGACTTCAGTGACTACCCCCTCAACTCCTGCAGAAATTCTATATAGGAGGGATTTGGAATCAACAATATGCCTGAGACTGGGTGGGGTACAGGCCTTGAAGCTGCTTTGCCCTTGGTAAAGGTTAAGAGTGCAATTAGGAGCCAGACTTAAATCCAGACTCTGCCCGTTTCCTAGCTGTGTGGTCAGTTAATTAACTTCTGTGCCTCATCTGTAAAATGGGGTTAATAAAACTTTCTACTTCATGAGGTGGTTGTAAGGATAGATAAATAGGTGTTGTCAAGTTGGTCCTGACTCATAGCGACCCTAGGTACAACAGAGCAAAACACTACCAGGTCCTGAGCCACCCTCATAATCATTGCTGTGTTTGAGCCTATTGCTGCCATTATGTTAGCCCATCTTGTTGAGGGTCTTCCATATTTTTGCTGACCCTTTACCAAGCATGATGACCCTCTCCAAGGACTGGTCCCTCCTAAAACATGATTAAAGTATGTGAGACCAGTCTCACTATCTTTGTTTGCAAGGCACAATCTGGCTGTACTTCTTCTAAGACATGTATATTTGTTCTTCTGGCAGTCCATGTATATTCAATATTCTTCACTAACTGCATAATTCATACACATCAATTCTTTGGTCTCCTTTTTCACAATGTCATCTGTACTTTGTTATGATCCACACAGTCTAATGCTTTTGTATAGTCAATAAAACACAGGTAAACATCTTTCTGGTATTCTCTGATTTTCAGCCAAGATCCGTCTGACATCAGCAATGATATCCCTCATTCCACGTCTTCTGAATCTGCCTTGAATTTCTGGCAGTTCCCTGTAGATATACTGTTGCCACCATTTTTTAATTATCTTCAGCAAAATTTTACTTGTGTGTGATATTAATGGTATATAAGTGTCGGCTCTTCCTTTCGTTTTTCATTGGATTGCTTTTGTGATGGCTAGAGCTGCAGCAACCATTTTGAGACAATGAAGTTTAGTCCAGGAATATTGCAGAGACTCACAGTTCTGAGCCTTTGAACTAATGTTTACAAGGAAAAAATAAGTCTGATTGCCCGTGTTGTCATTCTGCAGAGATAGGATAGAAACTCCTCCTCCCTCCTCCCAAACTGAAATTTGGTTTGGGCATCAAGCCTGATAATGCCACATATACACCACGAGGGTGTGAAAAGTTTTATTATCAGTACAATAAGGCTTTTTGAGAACAGCGGGGCAAGTTCCCAAGCATATCCAAGAATTGCTTGAGAGAGTGGGGAAAGGACACTGACTTTAGGGTTTCATGGTAGTTAGGGAATGAGAGTAGGCTGAGGGTTCCCATGTGTGGTCAGGGCTTGCATGATTTGAACTCCCCAGTAGCACCAAAAGAAAGAGCACCCAGAGTTTCTTATCAGCTAGCCCAGATGTGGAGCAGAAGGAGAAGAGGGAAGGATGAGACTTGAAAGCTGTCAGTGGTCAAACATCAAAAATGAAGTCACTCTCTTTATTACAGTAGTTGGGCTTCCTGTCCCTGGCAAAAGAAGTCCTAAATGATAAACTATAAACGTCAGTCAAAGTAGATTTTAAAAAGCAGGTCATATTACTCTACTGCTTAAGACCCTTCAGTAACATCTCTTTGGAGTAATAAATTCAAATGAAATTTTGAACTCCATGTCACAGCCTACACACCTTGAATGAGAGGACTCCTGTTTGCCGCTCCAGACTCATCCTGTATCCTGTTCTCATTGCCCACTCTACTCCTGCTCTACCTTCCTTGTCCTTCATCTTGCCATGCCCTTCTCTTCCTCAGGCTCTCACACTTGTTCCTCTGCCTGGAACGCTCTTGCTTCAGCTCATCACATGGGGGCTCCTTGTCATCCTCAGGCCTCAGTCTGCATGTCCTCCCCTCACAGAGACCTTCCCAGGCCACTGTACCTATTAAGGGGCCTTCTCCTTCTACTCCTTGTTTTCCTCCACCACTCCTCTCTCTATGGATCCCGATCGGTAACTATATGGTATATTTATGTGTGTTTTTATGTGTTAATTGAATGTCTCCTACACTAGAATGTAAGCTCCACACCTGTCCTTATTCACCTTTGTATACCGAGAGCTAGACGTTATGCTGGGAGAATGGTAGGTTCTCAGTGAGTACTTACCAAATGTGCTAGATGAATAACCCTGGCTCTGTCACCTTCAGTGGCAATTTATTTTCCTTTTGAAACATTCTTATTTATAGAGCAGGGATAATCATGGTACCTACCACATAGTATTGTAAGAATGAAATGAGATAATGTATATAAATTCATGGACCAATGTATGGTTATCATGGTTTCTTATCGCTGCTGTAACAGAATTCCACAAGTGAATGGCTTTAAAGAAGAGAAATTTATTTTCTCACCATTCTGGAGGTTAAAGTCCAGATCACGATCTTGGCCATTTTTGACTCCTTCCTTGTAGGTAGTCCTGGGCATTGCTGGGTTCCTGGGTTTGTCTATAATCCTCATATGGCCTCTGTCTTCCCCTTTGTGTGAGTGTCTCTAAACCTAATCTTCTCTTTTTCAACCCAAAAGTAATTAGATGTCGAACCCACCCTACTTGGGTCTGATCTAATCAACTAACAAGAATTACATCCAACCATATAAGGGTTAGGATTCCAACACATACTTTGGTGGGACACTGTTCAAGCCATAATACTGGCATGCAATAAGATCTCTACAATTATTATTTTCTTCTCTTTCCCCATCCCTCAGTTCTAGGCTCAAGTCTAACCCTGGGCTTGGGCAACGTTGGGTTAGTCACAGAACCTCTTGGGCTGCCAGAGTGTACTTAATAAGTATTTGTTGAGAGCCTAAAGTGTATCAGTCACTATTCTAGTGCTGGAGCTATGGTGATGAGCAAAACAAACAAAAATCCCCACTCTCACAGAACTTCTAAGATCTCTAAGGGCTTTGATGCTTTCACTCAAATTCTTATAATTTAGAGTTATCTAGCTGAATTTTGATTGGAGGAGGGAATGAGGAATGAATGGCCTAGACTGACAATTAATTGGGTCTGGTCATCAGCTTAATTTTGTCCAGCTCTAGCAGGTTTTCTACAATTATCTAGCAGACCTCCTTCCCTCTGCACTTGTTTGAATGGGACATTTCCCTAAGATGACAAAGTGCCTGGTGACACTGCAATGCTTCACTCTGACAGCACATTAGAATCAGTGAGTTAGATGACTGCCATAGTGCCTTCTGCCCAGAGGGCTTTGAGAAGGGTTTAGGGAAAAGAAGAGCACAGTCAGTGACAGTATCCAAGGAGCCCCAGCTGCCTTGGGATCACATTTCTTCTTATTTCCCACAGAAAACCTTCTTGTATCCCTCTTGCTAGAAAATAAAACCAGTGTCCTTGTAGGAATGCATTTTTATTGGAAAGTGTTGTATGCATAGGTTTATGTGTGTGGTAAGTCTGATGCATTCCTCTTGAACCTGCATCCCATTTACAGATGAAAGCCCAGAGAGTTAAATGTGGGTCTAGAACCCAGGACACCTGGTCTAGTACACTTAGTCTACAGTCTTAGAAGTCAGCAGTTTAATACTGTAGAGTTATATCAGTCCCAAACCCAAAAACCAAACTCATTGCTATGGAGTGAGATCCAACTCATAGCGACCCCTCCTTGGGTTTCCAAGGCAGTATCACTACAGAAGTAGATTGCCCAACCTTCCTTCTGAGGAGTGGCTGGTGGGTTTGAACTGACTGCCATATCAGTTATATTGCTTCAGTATATCAGTCCCATGGAACGGCTCTGATTGGCCCTGCTGGGATCATGTGCCTGCCTCTTGCAGCAATCACTGTTGCTAAGGGGATGAGAACACATGATTGGCTAGGCTGGAGTTGGGGGAGGCAAGGTATATTACTAGATGAAGGTGGATGGGAAAACTTGCCAGGCTGCCAAAAAGGAGAGCTACCCATAAAGCTTTATGTCTTTAAATTCCTACTCATTCTTGTTTGGCCTTGGGCTTCATTCAGCTCAATACATGGCAGCTGTGCTCTGACTCAGAGCATAAAGACAACTTCCTGCCAGGAGGTGACTTTGGCTTGGGTGAAAAGCTGTCCTTTATAGTTTCCACCTTTCAGAAGCAAATTGCCAGGCCTGTCTTCTGAGGTGCCTCAGAATTATGGGTTTGAACTCACAACTTTCCAGCTAGTAGTTGAGAACTTAACCATTTGCACCACCCAGGAAATCCTGGTGAAAAGCTAGTCCATAGCATTTGCTTGGATTGGTTGTTAAGATAAATTGCCAAGCATTTTTTTTTTTTTTTCTAACATTTACCAAGGGCATATTTTTCTATCCTGGGGGATAAGAAACAGTGATATGTCCTAGGAGACTGAGTAGAGGCACAGAGTATGAAATCAAGCTCTGGAATGAAATTTGCTACCTTAATTTGAACTTAATATAGATCAAAGTCATATGACTTTCAACAAATTAATTGATCAACAATTTCAAAATGTTGATGACAATAAATATTAAATCTGTGAATAATTTAAATAAAGTGCTAATCATAGAAACTTTTAGTATCCCCCAAAAACGGAGATTTGAACTTACTTGCTGAGAAAGGTTCCCTGCCAGGTCCCTTGGGGTTGTGTGTGATAATGTGTGAGCCTTGATCTGACTGATGATGAGAGCTTCAGGCAGGGGCCTCTTACGTGTGCAGAAAAACTCTCAAAACACTAGAGGAAAGAAGGGTATGATACTTAGGATATTATCTTTCGAGAGTCA